TAAGCTACATAAAAAATTCTTTAAAAATTACATTTAATAATATATAAATACTTATATTTTTAACAGAGTATTGAATTTAATTTTTTATATAGATTTTGCAATGATGATAAATACTCTAATATCTAATGATTATAAATGATAAGTTAAATATGATAAAAATATTACAAGTAGTATATGATTTTTATCTATATAGTAGATAAATTTCTTATTGATATAAGTAAAATAATTATCTAATATAAGTAAGTATTTACTGAAGCTACTTTTCTCTATATATGAATTCAGTATTTTTTTTAATTATTAAAAATTATAGTTATAATTACTTTAGTTATTAAAGAATATATTAAAATATATTTATTAATTTTTATTTTAAATTACTTTAATATATTTATTTTTTAAATATTAAACTAGAATAATATATATAGTAGTAAGTTCAAACTGAATTAAAAATTTTTTTTTATTATCATTATAAATATTTAAGAGTTCAAGATTATATTTTATAATAAAATAAGTTAAATAGAAATAAAATTATTTCATTAGTAGTTCATAAATCTAATAAAAAAAGATAATAAATATTTAATCAATTTGCTTGAAATAGTCTTTTAAGTTATTATAATTATTTGTAATTCTTTATTTTTAATTAATTATATAAAAATAGATACTTTTTAATAGATTTTTTAATAAATTTAATTATTAAATTTTATATTATTAGTAATATTAAAACTCTCTATATTTGTTTTTTGCTCTTATACTGCTTATCTTATACTGCTTATCACACTGCTTATTAAAGTACTTTAAAATCAGTATTTTTTAAAGAATTAATATCTTCTCAAAATTTAGCATTTGAAATCAGCACAAATCAGTATTTTTTAAAAATTAGTTTTTTAATATTAGTACTTTCTGAAAATAAAATCAGTACTTCATGAAGATTCAGATCACTTTATTGATAATTTTTTATTTCATGAAAAATTAAAAATAAATTTTATTACTACTCATTTATATAGATAAATACTCTGAATTTTCAAGTTTTTTTAAAAGATACAGTAATTAGCTACTATTTAATTCTATATATATATTTCATTTATCACTATTCTCTTCTCTTCATAGCACTTACAGCACTTATATATTAACTTTTTTATAATTCTAGTTATATTATAAAGCTTCTCATACTTTCTTTTAATACTTAGTTCATTCACTTTAGTATTCTCACAGTTTCTAATCACTATAAGAGAAATTGTCTGTTAAGTTTATAATAATAACTCTGAAATGTAATCTACAAATTGACATTTTACATACAATATTTAATGAAGAAATGCATGTAAAAAAAACTTTCTATAAACAATCATCAAGTCTGACTTTAGAAAGAAATACTAAAACATTTCTTATCTCAGATGATGAAGAAATTCAGATAGTTCAACAAGAATAAAAATATCAAAAGATATATAAAAAAATTTTTAAACTACAATAACAAGTCAACTGTAATGTTAAAACTCTCATTACTAGCTTCTTGCTTTCACACTGCTTATTACACTGCTTATTAAAGTATTTATATTTACACTACTTATCAAAGCACTTTAGAATCAGCATTTTCTAAAGAATCAGCATCATCTCAAAACTTAGTATTTTGAGATTAACACAGATCAACACTTCTCAAAAACTAGTTCTTAAGCATCAGCACTTTCTAAAGAATAGAATCAGCACTTCATGAAGATTCAAATCACTTTATTATTAATTTCTCATTTTATATAAGGTTAGAGATAAAATATATTACTATTTATTTATATATATAAATACTCTGAAATTTCAAAGTTTCTTCAAAAGATTCAATGATTAGCTATTACTCAACTTTATATATATATTTCATTTATTGCTATTCTTTTCACTTCATAGCATTCACAGTATCTATATATATACTCTATTATAATTTTAGTTATAGAGCTTCTCATACTTTCTTTTGATATTTAGTTCATTCATCTTAGTGTTCTTATAGTATAAAAGCAATACTACAATCTGCTAGATGATTTATATACTGAATAAGTTTTTTCTTATAAATTAATTAACTTTTTATTATACTTTGATATTACTTTAGATGTGCAAATATAATTATCTTTATACTGCTATGTTAATATAGTCAATTTAATTTTATATTTTATAGTAATTTGCTTATAATTTGAAAATTCTTGTGATTTTAAATCTTTAATTGTTAGTTGAATTACAGTTTTATTGATTATTAAATATTTATAAAAATACTTAAAATAAATAAATTAAATATTAAAAGAAATTATAAAAAGCTTTATAATTAAAATTATAAAAGAATATATATATAGATACTGCAAGTTCTATAGATAAAAGAGAATAGTAATGCATAAAATATATATATAAAATTAAATAGTAGCTAATTACTAAATCTCTTTAAGAAACTTTAAAAATTTAAAGTATTTATATATATAAGTAGCAATAAATTTTATTTTTAATCTTTTTTAAAATAAAAAACTAATAATAAAATGATCTGATTTTTCATGAAGTGCTAATTCTATTTATCAGAAAATGCTAATTTTAAAGAACTAATTTTTGAAAAGTGCTGATCTATATTGATTCTGAATTATTGAATCTTGAAATGATATTAATTCTCTAGAAGATGCTGATTCTAAACTACTTTAATAAGTAGTATTGAGATAATATAATCAATAAGTAAGTCAGCTACATAAGTAAGTCAGTTACTTTCTTCCTTACTGTATAACAAGAATGCTTTCTAAATTTCCACTATAAAGAAAAACTAGCAAATTATATTATAAATTATTTTCTATATACTTAGAGCATGTACAGATAGTATGCTCAATAATTTCATATATACTATACTATGATGTTGCATATTTTTATAATTGTGATTTAGCAGTCTCAATTATTCTCTGCTCTCATTCATTAATTCTTCATATGTGATTCATGTCTTCTTCAACTCTTAAAGTACTCATTTAAGCTACATATATACAGTCTCTTTTTTACTTCTTCTTTTATTTAGTATTAGCAGCTCTTAACTCTCTATTTTCAGCTAATAGAATAGCAGCACTATGTATTATCATTTGACACTTCTTGATCAGCTGACTTAGAGTATGATTGATTGAACTGAGTAGGCTCTGCAATTAGTGCTTGATATATTCTTTAATTTTCTCAGTCTGCTGCTCCAATTGATATATATTATATGATGTGGATATAGCCCAGAAGAGCTAGAAGCTGTAAGAAATTTCTGAGGAAGTGAGAATATGTATCATGATATTAAGCTATGAGAGAATCTACTCAGAATTGTATAGAATCAGCTCAGCAGCTCTAAACCTGCTTTTAATATTACTCTCAGTCAAAGTCTGCATCTGAGCTGCAGAATAGAGACTTAAAAACTCCTTCTTATTAATATGATTGATCTCAAGTCATATTTGATTTTTCACCTACTGTCTATATGCAGTTTTCAGAGATGAAAAGTAGCTAACATTCAATGACTGAAGAAGATAAGAGAAATATGACAGTATGTAGAGGACAATAATTTGATTCTCAGTGCATAATTAATCAAATTCAGCTGAGATATGGCTTTAATAACAGTCTAGAATCAACAGTCAATATCTGCTCTTTATATGAGATAGAATCTTCTTATTAAACATCTTTTTCAGTCAGTATAAGCTCAGCCGATTAGTGATTCAGCCATTCTCACTGACTTCAATCACTTAGTCATATGATAGCTCTTCTATCTTATATCAGTAGAATTAATATATCTTTTCTTTGAGAATAATCATTATATGCAAGACTTTGCCAGTTGCATTGACTTCAGCAATAACAGTCACTTATTTCTGATCTTCAGACTGTACAAGCTTAAGATTCTCAGCTCTTTTAGATTTAGTTATCATTTTAACAGTTTCAATTACACTTATCTAAAACTCAGTCTCATTAAAGTTGTAGATATCATCTTTCAGAATTTTATACTTTATAATAGTATTTTGTATAAGTCTAAATCACTCACAGATAATCTCAAAATTCTCATATAAAATCTGTTGATAATTGTACTTGTGTGAGAACTTGAATTTCAGCTCATTATAATACTTGACAAAGTTTTATACTTAGCATTCACTCACTGTGAATGAGGAGTTAAATCCTTGACTATAAGAAGAAAATTAGTCATTTCTCATACAGCTGCAATCTGAGAAAACTGATCTCATTCATTCATGATCAGAATTCATTGAATAAAAGATTCTTCCTTTGTAAGACTAAGTTTTCAGTTCTTTGACAAAGTGTTAATGCATGCTGTATGACTATGTATCTAATTATCTAGAGTGAAATGTGAAACATTATACAGCTTTGCTGCAGCTTGTATATTTGAAATTTGATCATTTTTAAATGCTTGAATGACTAAAAGAAGCCTTCCTTCCTAAGTAGAGGCTTTATTTCTTTGTGTGATTGATATTTTTGATGATGAAGATGTTGTTCTGAGATGAGATGAAAAGTGATTGACTTGTTTTTGTGGCTGACTCACTTATTGATTATATTATGTTAAGTGCTTTAGTAAGCAGTGTGATAAGCAGTGTGAGAGTAAGAAGCTAATATAAAGAGTATTGATATCATAGTGTTGAGTTTTGAAGTTGAAGAAATCAGATAAAATTTATAAAATTATTGAGTAATGAAAATCATTAAGTGATCAGTTACATTATATTAAAATTATTGCAGTTATAACACATCATTTCTCTATCACCACAGCTATATATAAAATAATACATTTGAAATAAAAAATATATAATATTCATATTCAGATATTTTATTGAGATGTTATTGTTGTCAGAATGCTGATATTCATTCAATTTGTTACATGATTAGTGGTAAATTGAGTTGTATTGAGTGTAGTGAGCGCTACCAATCAAGTATGAGAAGTAAGCGAAGTGAGTAAAGTATGCTTGTTAAAACATAATCAATTCAAATATATGTTTAGTAGAACTGAGTATTTAGTCTTGAGTAATGATGTAATGTTAACGTTCCTTTCTTCGCCGAAAGCGAAATCTCAACCCATCTTCACTGTCAGATTTTTCCGTATCCCGAGGTCGTTTACCAATCCGTGAGGGTGGAGTTGGTGATTTCGATTCAGTATCAAAGTTTTGCTCCACAGTGGGCGTCTCTTGGCTTTGTGAGTAACGACCGGTGGGAAGGGATTTGTTTAGAGTCCAATAAGTCTCACCGAGGCTGAAATCTTTTCGTTTAGCCTCCTTCAGAGGAACGATAACCGATTGAACTCTATGCAGACCAACAGTACCATGGCTTTTCCGCCGGAACTTTTTGAAGTTCTTTCGACCATTCCATCGTTCGTCATTTTGAGCGCTGCCACTTGGCGCGTTTCGGCCCCACGAGATGACTGGAACGTCCATCTCCTCAACAATTGCAAGGTTCCGCAGTCGCTCAACATCAACATTTTCAGTCATTGCACGGAAGGACGCTACATCTTTTTCCTGTTGATGCATGATAGCTTCATCAACAGCTTGACGACGTTGTCTGGCTGCTTCCATTACGTTGAGTTTCTGCTTCTTTGCTCTTTGTGGTTGTTCAGCCGGGGGGGTTTGTTTGCCTCGTTTTCCAGCCCTGGAAATGTGTAGCTTCATCACGGCAGCGCCGGGTAGAAGTTCCACCATCGCATCCTCTTCACAGTGCGAAGGCAGGTCTGTCTGGGGTTGTGCCGATGCAGAGTCAGGAATCATAGCCTATGCAATGTCAGTTGATGGAAACTTTTGTAGAAGAGTTGTAGTAGCATACTTGAGGCGTTTCTTCCCGTCCGTTACCTTGTTCTAAAGAATAGGCCGGAATGGAGTCTATGTCAAATCCGTCATCAAACGACTTAAACCTGTTGATAAATAGCCGTGCACGAGATCGTCTCGTTGTTTGGGTTACAGCCTGCGTGTCCTCAACGGGGAACCGAAGTGGTTGATTGGATCCGCTGACAGGCAGTTCTTCCCCTTGGTGAGGTCGGAAAAGCAAGCTTGCTTCATTGGCAAGAATCGCATCCAGGAATTGACTAGGATCTATCAGTCTCTGGCCCGTTTTACAAGCGATCTGGTGTTCAATTCGAATATCCCAACTGTCAAGTTCGCTAGCCTTTCGAAATTGAACAAGACCAACACCCCCTCCACCGTCGATTTGCGCAAGCCTTCTATTCCCAGCAGTTTGTTTCATGAAGGCAACTACATCATCTGGGGTAGTTCGTCCACGATCGATCTCGAAAAGCAAAGCCTTTCCATGGCCGTTTGTAATCGGGCCCTGTAAATCCTCGAATCTGGTCCTCTCACAAAATATGAACGTGCAACCATCAAAAACATTTATTCGGTTAGGGTTCGGTTGATAGGATGTGTCTGGGCTTTGGGTAGGCTCCTTGCCACGAGGAGGCAAGTATTGAGCGGGATCCGGCCAGGCAGCATCGAAATCTTCCTCCAGTGGACACAGAGACTCTTCACGCTCGAGATCGCCCGGGGTTGTGGCATAGACAATGGCCTGGATGTAGGATTTGTAGACGATATATTTTCCATTGATCAATGCGTGGAGACCTTTTGTGGTATTGCGTTTACTTTGCACAACATGAGTTGTCCTATCAACAATGTAGGGGATGATTGTTTTAACGTCGAGGTCCTCGAGGCTGGAGAGAGCGTGTTTGAGTGGATCCTTAGCTTTGGATGGAAATGAAAAGCTCAAAACGATGGGGTGCCATTTGATTCTAAGAACTCATTCAGCATTTGCCGTAATAAGCAGTAAGCAAGTAAGGGATCAAAACAACGTACTTTAGAGGGTGGGGATACTTTCCAATTCGTATAAGATGTTCATCACCTTTAAGCTCCTTGCTCGAACCGTTGATAGACTCTCCATCAACTACGGTGCCGCAAGTGGTTTTCTGGTCAGTAACCAATAGGCGGGATCTGGCCTCAACATGCATCTGATGGATTGTCAGCAAGGCACATGAAAAATGGTATGTAATAAGCCGATATATATAAATAAACAATATGCTGTGCTGTAGCAAAGGGGTTCAGATAAGAAAATGACGTACTCCATCTCCTGGCTTCACATGGCCGACCTCAATAACCAAATGATGTCGTGATATGGTTACATTATCGATAGCATGGCGGACTGTTTATGAACACCACAAGCGAGTTAAAGGCCATCTCCATTCATGATATTATTGATACCGTAGGGTTATATCAACGATTCAGGATGTCTAGAGTCATTCCATACCGCCATTCCTCTTCACTCGACCAAAGAGATATTTTTTCCCGGGTTTTAACCACACTCTTTTGCCTGCATACCAACACGATGAGCAAGACCCTCTTACGATCTTCAGAGGACAGAGTAGAGCAGGGCAATAACCATGACAAAAGACAGACCTTGGAGAAAATCTCCACCATCGGACGACAATATCCACATCTTCGATGCCTTGCAGTGTTTATGTTTCGTTGTCTGGAGGCTCCTGAGAGTTAGACATCTAATATATCTATCGAGCGCACATGTGGCATATAACCGGGCCCTAGTGGTTGATTTCATAATCAACCTCTGTTCGGACACTCGCATACACAAAAACAACCTCATACTGTCGGAACCATATTTTTGAAATATCTCCACAACCACTGCTCTATTTTACTCATACTGTGGCTCAATCTACTCATCAGCTCTCTAGGTACCACCCAGTATCAAGAAGATATGGTGAGTGATCAAAATACTCCACAGGTGGGTATCCAGCCACTCAAATCAAAGCAGACATCCAAGCTTTTAAAGAATATCATATAAACCTGCTAGGTAAAACATGAAACTCAATCTGGCAGATGATTGAAGCCTTCATGAGCAGTGTCAGTGTCTATGTAAAGAAGACTGAAAAACAGTCAACTCAGACTGAACTGACTGCAGACCTCTGAGCCACTGTAAAAGCTCAAGAGAAGATGAGAAAGAATATAGTTCAAATCAAGAACATACTAGCAGCTACAGCTGTAAAATCCACTGAGGTCAACAGTCTATCTTACATTCAAGTTTTGCAGAAATCATATCTTCTGAGAACATTAATGCAATTCAGACCCTCAAGTGGACTACATGAGATTCTGATTAAAATAGAAAATACTGCCTCAGAAAATGAAATACAAACAGTCTCAGAAGAAACAATCAAAGAAAAGATCAATAAAATACTAGAAAAAAGTCAAGTTCAGAATCTAAAGAATATAAAAACTCTAGTTGTAAAGTGATACTCAAGTAAAGACATTACACTATACACAAATGATCAGAACACAACAAGAAAAATACAAATATACAAGAAGAAGTGAATGAAAGCTCTTGAAGACACAGCAGCTCTTCAGATTATTATCTTTGAAATTCTAATTCATAGAGTCTCAACAGCAATAGATGTTATAAATATCAAAGAAATAGAAGACAAGATACAGTGGAACAATTCAACATTGAAAACTGCAAATGTCAAATACATAGAATGACTTAAAAAGGAACTTGAAGGGAAAAGAGTATTCATATTAATAGTAGAGTTTGACAATAGTGAGTATGCAGATAATGCAATCATCAAGAGAATTACATTAAAAGTTCAGATATTTATTTATGAATACTATGATAGAATCTGTAAGCTGAGACAATGCTTCAAATGTCAAAAGTATAAATATATTAAAACTCATTGCAAGGCAAGTCAAATCTGTGAATACTGCACAGGAAGTCACAGAACTGTGAGCTGTGATAAAAGAATAAAAAAAGAAATAGAGATAAAATGCACAAATTATGATAGAAAACACTTAATATGAAGTGTTCAATGTGAGAAAAGAAAGACTGAACTGGCCAGATTTAAGAAGAGAAAGAGAATAAAATTAAATACATATCAGAAAGCAGCAGCAAGATATTAACAAGATATCATAAATAAATTATGAACTGATAGAAAAATAAATACTTCAAAGAAAGTCTCAGTCAGGCTTATTCTTTAGCTAAGAATGAGGACAGACTTAGGTCAAAAGAGAGGCTGATTCTCAAGGAAGAGCATGAGAGCTGAAACTCAGAAGGAGAGTGAAGAAGATATAATCAAGCAGATGCTACAGAAGCTGAGTAATAATCAGTAATTGACTGCTTCAGTGAGAAACTTCAATTTGAACAAACATCAGTGATATGCAAGTCAAAGAAGTCAATCATTAACACAGATCTCAGATATGTATATGATCTTCAATGAATAATACAACTCTATCAATACTTCAATACAATGTCAACAAGTCTTGAGATCAAGTTATGACATCACTGCTTGCTGATCAAGTATCATTAACATATGATATTATAGCTATTCAGAAACTATGATTAAACAAGTTTCAAGAGATCACATACTACTCAGTCAAGGATCAATTTGACTTGATCTATCAGAAGAATAAGAAAACTTAAATATGCTTTCTCATAAATAAGAGAATAGAAGAAGGCTGAACACACATACACTATGCAACAGATATTGTAATCTTAAAACTGCAAGTGAATTAGAAAAGAGTACTATGCATACACAATATATACAATTCAATTACAAGGACACTTGAAAGAAATAATACAATACCAGATCTTTAAAAGATTATAGAGAAGGAACCTGAAGCTAAGTATATAGTACTGAAAGACTTCAATCTTCATCACTTATTGTGAGATGAATTCAGAGTTAGAAAGACATCAGAAAGAGCTGAAGTCATACTTAAACTGATAGCAAACTATCAACTAGAACTGCTTATACCTGTTGAGACAAGGATACACCAGGAAGTAAAAAAATCAATCATACTGAACCTGGTTCTGAAAACACACTAGGTTCAAGAAAGAGTAATATGCTGTAGACTAGCTGGATCAGAATTAGACCATAACTCAGATCATTTACTAGTGACAATCATTCTGAACATATCAACAGCTCAAAGTGAGTCAAAAAAGAAGAGAGTTTGGCACAGATTAAAAGAAAAGAAATTCAAGAAGAATATCAGAAAGAATTTATCAGAAGCAAGTAAGTCACTAAGTAAGAAGAAGATCAATCAATATCTGAAAGCTATAGTCAAGGCAATTATAATAGTAATTGAAACTTACTGTTTAGAGTCACACATCAATTCATGATCAATATCAAACTGAATACCTGAGATCAAAGAAGATTAGATAGAAGCAAAACAACTGCAACATATCTACCAAGAAACCCAGTCAAAGAAAGTATGAGAAGACTATAGAAGAGTCAGAAATTACATGGAAAAACTTATTCAGAAGCTCTTGAGAAGAAATCATAGAAAAAGAATATAACAAGCAATAGAATCCATAGAAGACCTCTGAAAGCTGATCAAATAAGCTAAGAACAGAGAGTTAAGAGTTGCTCACACTTCATCTCTAAGGTATGAAAAAGATTCTCTAGAATCTGAACTGGAGAAAAAGTATGATCTGCTTAGCAAAACCTTCTTTTTACTCTCAAGCATTGTCAATCTCAATGACATAGCTGGAACAGTATACTTAGAACTAATTGAATGGCCAGAAATCACACTCAATAAAATACAGAAGATAATTCAAAAGGTGACTGCAAAGAAAGCACCAGGGTTAGATGAAATATCAAATCTGATTTTAAAGATTCTAATAGAAATGCTGACTCAGCCTCTCACAATTTTATTCAATGTCTGCATAGAACAGGAATACTACTCAAACTACTTTCAAAGATCTATAATAGTAGTGCTCAGAAAACCAGAGAAAGAGGACTATACTCAGACCAAATTCTATCAATCAGTAACTTTGCTAAATACAGTGAGAAAACTGCTGAAGAAGATCATTGTCAAAAGAATATTTTACTGAGTAGAGAAGCATGATCTTCTTCCAAAAATGCATCTGAGTGACAGAAAAGAAGTCTCAACTGAACATGCCTTGCACTAGCTGCTGAAGAAGATAGAAATAGCATAAAAGAGACAGATAATATTCAAATCAGTATCTATACTATCTTTGAATATTTCAGGTGCCTTTGACTATGTCTCACACTCAAGACTTCTTCATAATCTCCAAAAATGAAGATTTTCAATTGCTGTGGTAAGATGAATAAAAAGCTTTCTGATAGATCAGAGAATCTCTATCAAGCTCTCAGAAGGCAGATCAGAGGAAAGAAATATACAATCTGAAATTTCACAGAGATCATCAATATTATCAATACTTTATTTATTCTTTAATACAGATCTAGTAGAGGACTGTCTGAATTCAGAAAGCAATACAGCAGAAATAAAATATATAGATGATATGAATATTGTGATCTCAAGCAGTTCAGCTGAAGAGAACTGCAGAACACTTGAAAGAATTTATGAAAAGTGCAATAAATAGAAGATAACACATGACTTAAAATTCAATTCAGTAAAATATAGTCTGATACATCTGTTTTATAAATCTAAAGAACTCAATAATAGCTATACAATAATCATAAGAGGACATACAATCACATTAAGCTAATGCTATTGAATACTGGGACTCATACTTGACAATCAGCTCAGATAAAAGAATCATATTGAGAAAGTAAAAGTCAGAACAATCAAGACTCTGAGAGCTCTCACCAGCCTGACAGAATCTACCTGAGGCACAGAATATAAGAGTCTAAGAAATATTTACAAGACTATTATTTTGCCATAGATGACATTTGCAGTATCAATATGATATGCATCAGCTGAAAATACACTCAACTACAGATCAGTACTGCTTAAAAAGCTTGAGACTGTGCAAAAAAAGACAGTCAAGATCATCACAGATGTATTCAAAACAGTTTCTGAACTAGCACTGGATATTGAAACTCACCACCTTCCATCACTGCAACTGCACTTGAAAAGAATTACAGCTGAAATATATCTAAGGCTCAGAACAACTCTATAATGAAGCACTTTAAACAGAATTTAGAAAGAGGAAATCTGATAGAGCTACTGAGATAACTGACAATCTCTATCAATAAAATAAACATCTTTGAAATGATATAAATATTAATATTAAAAGACTCTTGGCAGAGAATAGATTGACAATCTGAAAATCAGAAAGTTTTATATAGTTTCACTCTAGTGAAAATTACCAGAGATATATATAGAGAATATAGAAGTAGCAAGAAAGAGTCATGATAAGAGATGACTGAAAGAACTGAGAGTACAAAACAAGCTGATAGTATATACAGATGTAAGTATCATAAACAATAAGATAGGTGTCTTAGCAATGCTTGAGAATTTTAACTTCACAGAAAAGATATACTTGAGAAATACAATTAGAGCAATAGTCTATTTAGCTGAACTCAAAGAAATTCAAACAGCTATATTCATAGCTCAAACTCTGAACAAAAATGCTATTATCTTCTTAGACAATCAAGCAGCAATTCAAACAATTCATGACTTTTAAACCAATGATCAATAAATTCTTGAGTAAATTGTAAAAATCTAAAATCA